TCAGATGGGTCTAGATTGGAATTGGATGATTCCATACATCTTATTGTTCCCGTGTGCTTCCATCATTCTGCACTAAATTGCATTCCGTCTGCAGTAGTGGTGGTGTGATGTCAGCAACGTGTGTCCGCGACCCTAGCTGCTGTCTACCTTAATTCTTTTAATATCAGGCGGCCGAGTTTGGTTTTTGGTACGTTCATTCCATAAATTGGATACCGAATTGTTACTACATTAATTCCATGCACGTCGTCATTCCAAGTTGTTGATGTTGCATGCAAAGTTCATTAATAGGAAATGGCAGAAAGTATTGATGTTTAGAAATGAGCATGAAACGGACTGCAATGACTCACTACCAATTACACTCTTTTCCCTGGTGGAGGAGTTATCCATAGGTAAGCATAAGGTACACATCACGAGTTTCGCTAATTTCAGACTTTTATTTCTTTTCGCCAACTATTAAGAATACTCTGCAGTGAATTTATTATTAGGGCGTATTTCACCTGGATGTATGCAGCCCTTATATGTGAGAAGGTCGTAAAATGTGTCTAGATTTTAGGCAGATATAATATTACCCAAGCCAATTGTTTGCCAATATTAAGCTGCCTCTAGCTTTGTTTAAATGTAAGGATTATGTTGGCTGGATGCGTATCTAATCTAGTTTGCTTAGATGGTGTTGTTATTATTGTTGTGCAAGTTTTGCCCTTTATCCATATAATACCCACATCAAAAGTGTGGTATTATCGGTGCGGGCTTTGTGTTATTATTGCTTTGGCATATTTATAACACTATAGGTACATATGTACATAAATATGTATATACAACTATTGTGCATTTTAATTGGGTTTACATCGTTGTTGTTGTGTTGTGGTGGTGGTGGTGGTTTGGTTTGTTTTGTTGTATCAGTCTGTCCCTGGCAGTCAGGGTGAATGAGAATGGGCGCAGATACACGTAACAACATGGGAGAAAGTAATGGTGAAAGGGCGAAAGGAGAAAATAAAACAAAACAACAAGACATGCAATCCACACATTGTCTCATACTGACCGCCCGTGAAATTATTATAGTTGTTCAAGTGCCCTAAAACTTTGCTTTCTCTGCCAATTTACAATCTTGACTTCCCTCCTCATACTTTTATTAGTTGACTAACTGCATTTATATTGAATGGACTGCTACCTTTCTCTTTTAGTGCAGTTCTCTCTCTCTCTGCATTACATATACATTTTACAACTCGTCTGGATCAACCCGTGACGGATATGACCTCGTGGTATGCTTTGGTGGGTTATGAATGTGGATCAGACTCTTTTTATTATTATAGGTTGCAATATAACTCTATGAGTCATATTTTTGAATCCGGGTGTTCATGTATGTATATGTAGCACTTGTATATAATGTGTGTGCGATATTTGCACAAGTTTGCACATGTCTGGCTTCTGCGCTACCTATTTCGCCAGATAAACGGCCCCAGTTCATAGTCACCACGGAGTAGTGAGCGGCCTTTAGTAGGTGTGTAGTAGTAGACGACGGGCAACAAAAACTTTTATTGCACTTTCCTGCCAACATTTTATTTCCCAAATTTTTTCAACGATTCAGCACTACAATTTCCTCCTGAAATTACAATCGTTTGCTTGTCCCTGGTCTTTTCACACAAAACAGGCTGACTGTTGTGAGGCTCTCCTTTCCCTTTTAGCTTGGGGTGCCGTATTGTAAATGAATAGTAAATGAGGCAAGGAAGTGAAAGGCGGCCGTGTTATTTGTTAGGCAGTGTTGGTTGGTGGTTGAGCAAGACCAGAAGAGAAAGAGAGAACTGTTTGAGAGAGAGAACAAGTTTGTCGGCTTTAGGCTTAGTTTTAGTTCGGTATAACTTCAACTGCATTGCATCCGTTTCATGACAGTGTGAGGCTATGCTAAAAGCGAATATAATCCCGTATATGAAGAGCTAATGAATGCGTTGGAAACTTACTTACTTGGCCAAGTTATCCACTCTCTGATAAATCCAGTCCTGCTGCTTTCTCGTCGTAAGACCCACCAGCATTTGAAGTTTTATTGTTGACGAAGCTTTTGCATATTTTAAACGCACGCCATGGTTCACCACCACTCACGTTGGTTTTCAAGAGCTGGGTTTGGAATTTCATTCGCAATAAAAGAATAAAAGGTTGAGAATTGATTTGCTTATGGTGTGAGTAAGTGAGTGAGTGGACTGTAGGTTCGTTCGTCCGTCGTGGTATATGGCACGACTGCATAGATATATTTACATATGTGCAATGCAATGTGCGTATATATGCAAAGTTTGGTTGGGCGCTGAGGGAGAATTTCGCAACTGCTATTCTCGTATTATTTCACCGCCTTCTTGACAAAATGTCCGTTTTCTGTCGATTAGTCATCGCGGACTTGTATTATACATACATAGTTTTGTACATTAATTAATTCTAGTTGACATGCGAGTCTGACTGAATTTCCTTGTTGAAATGACATAGTGTTGTCATTTACTTAGGGTTTGGATGGATGGATACTGATTCCGTTAGACTATTTAGAACTATTATTTGCTAAAGTAAATAAAATGTGGGCACGTTAGGAGTAGTGAGTGAGTGGATTGAAATTAGCACTTGTGCATATCTCCCCCACCACAATAATAATGACAGATGGATAAGTGCACGCAGTGTAAAATGCATCCGGAAATGAAGGTACCTTATCACTATACCATCAGGACATGTGCAGCAGCAGTAGGCAAAATAAGGGAATTGGTTTTATTTGTTTGGTTGGTTGCAGAGGGGTAAAATAATTTTGAAACTGCATTTCGCAAAACTGGATACTGATTGGCGAAAAGGGTTTAAAGCTTGATTATGCTTTTAAGTTGCATTTTGTATTAAATATTTAATATCCCTACTGACAACTGAATGATTTTCTGGTGGACGACAACGACGCAGTTTTGCCTGTGTTTAGATAATATGTGCGATAAGAGGCAAAATTATTGCTTTCTGCATCGCCTTTAACCTTGGTTCGTATTACGGAATACAATAAAGAAAGCTAAATTGCACAGCCTGCTGGTTACATAAAGAGCGACGTTTTCTGTTATTAATTTCTGACTCTCGTTGCAGAATTGTTGTTGAGTAAGGTACTTTTTGAAAGAAGAGAACACGCCATAATTGCTAACTGCATAACGGGAAGTGAGTGACTGACTATAGAACTGGAAGATTTTTTTTGCCCTCGCCTCAACGGCGTCTTGATACCCATTACTTTCTGCAATGAAATTTTAAACCGTTCATGAACTGAATTAAATTATTATTTATCATCATTTCTTAATACATCCTCGCATTTTGGAACGTCTTAATTTTTCTTTGTCAGTCTCCGATTCTATTCTTATCGAAATGTGAATCCTTCTCCAGTTTTTTTTCTCTGCTCTGGTAAAAATATTTTTCAGCATGAATCATCACGAACTCTTGACGTTGTGATACGTTCAGTGTAGTCGCAGCAGCAGCTATTTTTTGCCTTATATACTAATTGGATTGCAAAACTTGTTTCGGATTTGCATAGCAAATTGAACCCGTCTAGTCAGTAGATTGCTTTGCCTGCCTGCCTGTTCTTTCTTTCCTTCGTTCTATATGTCAGCGATAAATATGCGTTTCAAGTTTCATTCACTGGCGACCAAAAAGCGTGAGTGTCTGGTGCTGGGTCGTTCGTTTTGTTGTGCAACATCACAAGGATTCCCGAGTAGGATTCGATGGTGTATAAAATTGCAGTGCAACCGGGTGGGTTGGGTTTGGCATTGTTTGAATTTTGAAAGTGCAATACCGGTTTCGGTTTTCCCATTTGAATAGGAATGGAGTTGATGTTGCTACAAGATTGCGTGTGGACAAAATGAAATGGAATAAATGGATGGTGAGGAGGTTCAGTCTGTGGCGTCAGTCCGGCTCACTCCCAGCTCTAAAAGTCCGACTAAACCTTTCTCTTATTCTCTTTATCACGGACACATATCTTTTTATATGATTGCCATTCTCCCACTCGCTCTCACCAGCCCGACCACCAGAGAGACTGGACATGGACGACGGCTGGCTGCTGGTATCGAATGGATGGATATGCACTAATATCTTTCTCCTCCTCTGAGGAGTGGAATATTTTTCTCGTCTTATTTTTCTAGGCCGCGCATTGCAGTAGAGAAAGTGGAACTTTTTTTGGAATTGCATTTCACTGCATATGTTATTTGTATGATGATGTCGGGTAGCGGGTAACTGTGGTGGTTCATAACTTCATTCCAAGGAAGAAGAAAGTAGATTAGTTGGCTTGTTGGCCGCTGTCTGTCGGGCATCTCAAAAAAGTTTAGATTATTGCATAATAAATATGTATGTATGTAGGAAAAAAGAGAAAGGAATTATATTTGATTTTCTGGCTCAATGCGCAGGGAATTATCTTCTTTTGTTATGGGAGCTATTTTAATATTATGGACATTGGTATTTTTGTGCAGAGTCCATGTTTGTGAGTGAGTGGACACTGATGACAGTTGCTGGAATTTCCTGTGACAAGTAGTAGTTCCTCTTCTTCTTCCTTCCCTGTTGACTGTCACCTAGGTCATGATGTTGAGGGGGTTTACTTCAGATTGATGGTCGTGAATGTGTCATGAATGCCAACTTAATCTATCTTAAGCTAGCCGTGGATAAAGTTTTTGGATTTATTCCGCTATATAGGGAAGGGAATTTGTCAGAAAAATTTGTTGCATGCATTTCAGGAGGAGGAAGAGGAAGGAAATTGAGGTTGTAGAAGAATGTTAATTTTACAAAGAGGAATTCTTCGGTTGGGACGAGAATGGAAAGAATTGTAATAAATAATGAATTGAATTATTTATTCGTACATACATATGAAAAATTGCACGTGGAGTTGAAATACAATCTACGCGACAAAGTAATCACTAGAGATGAATAAGTTTGTGTATAAATTTTTTTTCGAGTAGAAAGTGCTAAGTTGAAGTATAAATATTAAGTTAATTTGTCAATGTATGTTGATTTATTTACAGATTGCCGTTTCTTCTCCTGCATCTGAAGTGTTGTTGATCTTTGACAACGAAGAGGATACGACGACGCGCTGAATAGGTTTTGGTTCTCGGATTGAAATTGAATTAAGAAAGGCAGCCGGATTCTCGATTTCTCTCAATGCTCATTCAGCACTCTGAGCTAATTAATTCATAATTCATAATTCACGGTCACCTGCCTGCCTCACTTCTCCGCACCCAATTTTCCAATCTTCTCTCCTTCTTCCACTTCAAAGCAGAGGAAAAACTCTTTCAAGAGTAGAATTGGAATAATCCAAGGAAAGAAGGAACGGAGAGCAGAGCAGCAAAGTTTTCATTCTGCTGAGACGACACGACGTACATAATAACTTGAGAAAGAAAGAGAAAAGAACTTTCTTCTCTCTCCCATCTCTTCCACCAAGGAAAAGATCCCACACCACCACCACCACCAGCGTCAATACCTACGAAAGAAGAAAGTATAGACAGTGTTGCTATTATACAGACAGACCGGGTGGCATCACGAGAGGAAAAGAGAGATAGTGGAATTTATTTTTGAGAAGACCAAGAAACGGGTCTGCCGAAGTAAAGTCACGTCGTCTTTCTTTCCCCAACCAACAACTATCTGGCCAACAAACTGCTTTCCCCCATCAGACTGCTCATGCTCCAGTCAGTCGAACTCTCTTCTCAACCTCGAACTCGTCGAGGCTTCCTTTTCGTTGTTATTACACCAAGCTAACCAGTTCTGTAAAAGAAGTAGGATCGACTAGTTGTTGTTGGAATACTGCTCCGCTACACGCTCCTCGCCTATCTCTCTCTCCTCTGTAAAACTGCATTTCATTGCTACATATTGCATTCAGCCGTCACACACACACACAGCTCCGTTCTCCGTTATATACGCAAGTTAAACTCATAATCCAGCAGAAGAATTCGATTCATTCGATTTAGTTTGTGCTTGCATAGAAGATAGTTTTTCCAAGTCTTCTCTATCTTCTCGAGTTTTTGTATCAACAAATCCCTTTGCAAACAGTAATGTGTTTGCTCACCAATTGTCAGGACCACCTACCAAAGCTGTCGGAATCTCATTTTCGTTCCGAGTAATGTGAAAGTTTTGATAAAAGAGACAAAAGAACCATTATCACTAAAAGAAGAAGACGTAACTGAGAAAAACAAATCTACACCCGACGTTTCTTGACCGAATCTCAGTTTCCTCAATTATACATGCATACAAGCACCGAATAATAATAATAACAGTTTACATACATCCAACAAGTTGTATTACAACGAGAGAAATTCATCAGCTGTGATAATAAAAAAAGTGTGTGTGCTTTTGAAATACACAAAGTGGGAAAGAAAAGTTTTTAAAAAGAGAGGTGACATTGTTGTTTGAGTCATCATTATTGTAATCACCGGGATAAAGAAAAACTTGTTGTTGGACAGATCAGGATGAATATGAACAACATGGCGATGGTCAATGTGAATAACTTGCTTAACATAAAGGTAAGCATTCAATGAGTATTATGCATTATTTATTATGACCGGCTAATTATAAAAATCTTGTTTTTTCATTGCAATTTTTTTCATGAAAAAAAAATTATGAAATCTCGAGTTAACATTTGTAAAAGAAATCGAACCCACGGAAGATTATATATATTAATTTTTAGAATAGATCAAAAAGAATGGAGAATGAGAACGTCCAGCTCCGGTAGATGAGAAAATATGAGATTGAAGAACTATTAATAGAGAAGGCGAATACATTTTTGCGACGTTGTTTGAGAAAAGGATGATGGATTCTGAGATTATATAATTTTTGTTACAAAAAGATTGTAAATCACACAATTCAATTCAGACTTCATAAGATATTAGGAACTACGATGTAGAAATATAATAACTTAATAACCAGTCATGTTACCTTTGTAATAACAAATTTTCTTTCACCACCCCAGGACTCCCGTTGGCTTCAGTTGGAAGTTTGCAGAGAATTCCAGAGAAATAAGTGTACCCGACCAGACACTGAATGCAAATTCGCACATCCCCCACCCAACGTGGAAGTGCAGAATGGAAGAGTAACCGCATGCTACGACAGCATCAAGGTAAGCAATTAACATTTCTCCTCTAATAAAATCTCAATGAGCTGAGCTCTTTAATCCTGCAATCTATACTCATATTCATTCATTCTACGCCGCCTACTCCTGCCCTGCTCTTTTCTTACTGATGAAATGAGATTATCTTTGTCAAGGGCCATCAACGATATAAATGTTCTGAAGCTGCTGCCTTGTGTCTCATTCTCATCGTCTGTTTTTTTACCCATTCATCCGTCTCGGCATTTCGTCGTGTGTATATAGGATCAAATGCTTATATGTATAACGCTGAAAAATCGTTTCATGTTATTTTTTTTGTTATTTTGGACGTAGCACAAAGTCGAATTTTTCTACCAGCTAGTAATTTGATATGTTCTCGTCGACGGAAGAATTCTCACGCGTGATTATTATTAAGATTGTCAAGCAGTTTCAATAACTTTCATTAATAATGTTGTCAGGGTTTGTGCTTTCGGGAATCGGGTTGGACGGATTGTTTGAATAGCTGGAGTTTTTCTATTGATAAGTCACGATTTTGAGTTTGAACCACCGCTGCGCTGTGTGTGTATGTCCCCACTTTTGCTAAAATATTGATAGCCTCTCAATGTTTTCTTGGAAAAGGCTGAAAGTCTTTAATATAAGTGGCAGAGTAGGAGGAGGAGGAGCTGTTGGAGAGAAAACGTGATTTTTTCCTCGCTCCGGGTTTTAAATGGGAGTTGGATGAATGATTGAATCTGTTTCAGTTTCAATTCATGTTGTGTTGACTGGAAGTAATAAAATTGGAAATCTCTTTGAAAATCTGACGGAACTGGTTTCATATTAGCAATGGGACTGAAGAAATGGGATGGATGACACATAAAATGCGACGCAATATAATACATTCCGAGAGACAGCTCGCTCTTTTTCTTTGATGTGAAAATCCTTTAAAAAATGATTACTTGTAAGCTTATTTGTGATTATGCAACTTTCTTTCTTACATTTATAAATGTTATTTCCGAAATAAATTAAATTATGCACTCATTTTCTTTTTAAAAAATTCTCTTGAATGAATTAAATTTTTTTAGTGGATTGGTTTACTTTCTCTATTTCACTAGGATTAATAATTCTCTTCCCGTGGAAATAGGTAGGGAAAAGTGTTTTGGCTCCTTTTTTCGCAATTGAGGACAATTAGAGTCATGAAAATATCGTGAATTGGGGCAGCGTGTCTGGAAGTTTTAGTAGACGGTGTCATGAACAGAGAGAGAGAGAGATCGTGAGGATATCTGTAAATCCAGCTGGTTTTCGAGCTAAAACATTTAGTGGCTGTTGTATGCAGTAGTTCGTGGCTTGGCTCACTTTGACTTTTGACTTCTTTTTGGTAGTGTGGGGTGTGTGTGTGTATGCTTCGTGTTAAAGTTTCGTTTTATGTTTCCTTCTTGTCTTGGTTGGTTGGTTGGTGAATATAGGTGGTAAGTTAGTTTATCTTAGTTAGCTAAAGTTGGTTTGTGGAAGAAAACTTTTAGTTTATGTGTATCAATGAATGAGACGTGAAATGAAACCGTCTCAGCATTTCTACGGTTCGACACTTCAGCCTTCAACAAAACCATAAAGTACTTTTCTTTGGGTTTCCAATCGGGTTAAATTTTGCCTTCCGGGAAGTTGAAGTACATACTTTACGAACTCACGAAATGAAAGGAATTGGATTAGGAGAGGGGATTATTAGAACCTTGTTAAATAAAACTGAACGAGTTTGGGTTCACATGCAGGTTTTCAATTTGATTTGACTTGGGCAGGATTTATTTTAGGAGGATTTATTAGTTAAGTAGTCGATTCATCAGTCCACAAACCATGGAGTTGTAAAAAGTTTACGTTTTGATTCCAATTCTTAATTCCTACTGCTGCCAACTTCACTCAAAAGGTTTCATATTGGTGTTGCCTTGCTGGCTTTCTTCATGGTCACATTAGTTAAGTTTAGCTCTTTTCAAAGCGTGCAGTGTTATTTAAGTGTAGTTAGTAATAGTTAAGCTGTAAGGTTATTTATCTCAAATCCAACTGGTGCTGATTCGTGGCATAAATATGTTTCATTTGACATACAAATTTTGAATTTACATTGCCATCAATCACTATTTTTAAAAATATTTTTTACATGAATAACTACTTACCCAGTGGTGGTGTTGGTGGGTGGGAGAAGGAGGTTGCGGGCCGTTGTGGTAAATAAATACCAGGTTGTTGTTGGGTTATTCATTTATTTTGGGCTTTTAGAGGATAATAAAGTGTAAATTGATGCATAAAAGAGTTTTAAATTTAGGAAAGGCTATTTGGCTGAGTGAGTGAAGGCAAATTCAATAGCCATGCAGCCAGCTAGTGTATGTAATGTGTATGTGTAGCCTGATACATTTATCGCCCAACTTCACATTGTGGTGTTGGTTTAATATTTCTCTTTATGTATGTAGAAGGAAAGGACAGTGATGAAATGCATGTGGTATGTGGTGTGATAAGCACCGTTGTTGTGTATCGGACAGAGGGGGTCGGCGAATGGATTAGTAATTTATTTGCTGAGGAGGATGTACATGATAATATAATATCAGTATTTTGTATGTAGTCGTCCTATCGTAATGCCTTCTCCAGAATTATTCCATGTCATCATCCGGTATGCTTCTCATTGCGTAGATTGAGCACAATTTAAGTTAATTGTGTGTAATTGGAAGGGACTCACATATATTCCAATTAGAGCGTCTATTCCTCGACAGGATAAGCTGTCATTTCACTGCACCATAAAAACCAACCAGACTAGACCACACTAAACCAGCACTGGTGTTAGTTCCATTGAGTTAGTTTTGTATGACGACGGCCATTATATCGTTATTGCCAGAGTTCAAATCTTAGTTCTGAGCCCTATTTGAACCAATTTGAAGCAAATCCTGGTACATGTATGTGAAGTAGTTGCATCATCATTTGTTTGTTTTTGTAGCGCTTTTATAACGTAACTAACTAACTAACTAGTCGATGCAGAGCTCGGTTTAAAATCAATGTCAATACATACGTGGTTGTGTCACTTGATAAGAATTCATTCATTCCATCCCCGCACCAATTTCCCAAGTTTCCTCATTCCTTCCCATTCACCCGTTGACTTGTTTAATTTGGTTTATTTTGGTCCAGTTTAACTTGTTGGAAGTTTTAGTACTAATTTCTCTTTAGAATCTCTCCTTACTTTGATTGCAATAGTTACCCAAGTGGTACATACATGAGGAGAGTAATAACATTAACAATTATTATACCCCACTCTCCGTAACAGGCTATCTCAATATTCAAAGTGAAATATACTGTGAGCGAAATCTCCGTAATAGAAATTTAGAAGAGTTGTTGTCGTTTTGTTCTGCTCAATGTCCAGAGACAGTTACGTATCCTCGTAGAGTTTACCAAGTTTTGAGCTAAGCCAGTGTTTCTTCGATACAACAACAAAGTCAAGTCAGTTAGTGCTAAAGCTCATTAGGTATGTTTAGCTTAGGAGAGAGAGAAGGGTATTTTAGATTGTATCCATCCACTAACTAACTTCTAGCTAAATGAAAGGATCATTCATTTCATTACCGGGGTTTCTGTATTGCTTTACTTTCCGAGGAATTAGAATGAAGGGAGTCGAACGAAACCCCCATCAGAGTTTGTAGATTGGATTACGTTTCACATTTCTTTGAGAAAGATGAGATCCAGTTCTCTCTCTTTAGCTGTGCTTTTACTTACCCCAGTTGTCGACGGATACTGGGATGGGATGTTGTTGTGATGAACAAAGTTCGTTAAGGGGATTCAATGAATATGTGGATATAGTGATATCGCTACTACTACCACTACTGCTGCTTGGATTGTTCTGTCAAAGCTGTCAAGTGAAGAAGACTGCTAGTACTTTACTCTGCTGAGATTTAAGATTGAGTGTAGGAAGGAGATTGCTAAAGTTTTGATGTTGCTCGGATGGATGAAAGGTCTCTGAAAGAAAAGAGGAAAGGATGGGAAGAAGAAGGGTGAGGGTCTGATGGTGCATTTAATGTTAATGGTGATGACGAAATTAGGTGAATGGCCAAACCAGACCACTAAAATGACTTTGGCTTCGCCGGTCGAGCTAATGCCACACGGGTCCATCATCAACTACTCCCATTCGCTGCGTCGTTGATTCGGATCGAATCTGGCATTAGGAGGAAAGTAGTGTAAGCTGGTTTGCTTAAGCTTGAGCTAATCGCACAGCACATGGTTTACGACGACTACGACGCTGCTGCCATATGGATATTTTCGGATTTTTTCCCTTCTTTAACCTTACCGTCTTCTTCCCGTAACATTACATGAGCAAGTATAAGTGTGAGACAGAGTGTATGTTTGTTTGTTAACTGCTCACAACTTGGTGGATATGCACATACTTTAGTTAACTCTAGTCGTGTAAAGGTGAATCTGAAATGTGTTACGCGTTTGAACACAGCACGTAAAAAAAGAAGTAGACTACTGCACACATAAATATGTACATGGTGATAGGAAAGCAGAAAGAAAACATGTGCATGTTGAGTGGATGAAGAGAGAGAAGAACTTGTGGAACGCAGCAGAAGGCAGATTTGTGAAGGAGAAGAAGGATATAAATGACGGGGTGTTTATATTAAACAGACATAATGCATATACTTGACGGTATGAAATATGAGTTGATGCTTTCAGTTCATGTCGTCGTTTATATTCTCTCTGATCTACAAAGTTTCGTCTACATGGCTGGTTTTTGCGCTTGCCGAGTAATTTGTAAGTGGTCCTGGTTTTCATATTATGATAGGATTCATTACTTAATATCAGGTAGTTTAGAGACGGGACTGCTATTTGATACGAGTTTTAAAGAGGAGGTTAAAAGTCACCTAGTTGCAAAAAGTTGAAACCACATGATTGAATTAATTAGGTTGCTGGTGCTAGAGTTGCATTGAAAATGCCATGCCAGCAGGAGGAGGAGGAGTAGAAGAAAGTGCTATTACTCCTCTACTGCTGGCATGCTGTGCTCGGCTTATGTATGTATGTAC